AATATTCGTTGTGGGCCACATGTGGCCCGTGGGCTGCAAGTTTGACATGCTTTCTAAGTTTGGAGGGTGTTAAAGGGGTTGTCTGTAGCCACCAATAATAGCTTTCTTCTCCAGTATAAACAATGAGAGATTGACTCAATGAAGCAAACTGTTCATCTGGTAACCTCAACTAAACTCAGGCAACATTTGGTTTTTCAAAACGGTATTATAATTATTCCCCCACAGGCCGCCGCTCTCGTCCACATCTACACCGATGGCTCTGTCTTGGTGGCTCATGGTGGCTGTGAAATTGGACAAGGCCTTTACACCAAAATGATCCAGGTGAGATAAGTATCCATGTTTTCCACTGTGGAAGACTATCACACCGTACAGGCAGTTTAACAACTTCTTTCTTGTTGAGCAGGAGAAATACCATCACACTAAATGCACAGGTCAATTGTAACGTTCATTTTGGTATCAGGAACACATGAATACAGGAGACTGATGGAAGTGGGTATTAGAATTGAGAAAATATGTAATATTATTCTTCCTGCATACTAAAGAACCAGGTCCCATCAAGGTCTTCTGAAAAATGTGATTCCAGTTTTCAAAGATAAAGTATTTTTCGGCTTTAAGGCAACTGCTCAAAGCTACATTGTGTTAATGCAAATCTTCATTAGAAATGAATGTGTTTAATAAGATGAGAAATTATGTTCTTATTATTCACAATCTACTTAGCAACACCAATGATGGGCCATTATGTGTGCTAATTCAAAGCAATCTTCCTAATACTACTGTTGGAAGAGGAAGAGATTATTTTCAATAGGAAATTTTTCCTTTATAAATTATTAAATAAGATTTTGTTGAATATGAAATTTGAATAAACAATGTGAGTAGCCCAATCGGTGTGACTCAGTGGTTGAGTGTCCACCCATGAACCAGGAGGTCTCAGTTCGATTCTTGGTTGGGGCAGATGCCCAGGTATCGGGCTAGATTCCCAGTAGGGGAAGAAGGGGACCAGTCAATGGATGATTCTCTCTCATCATTGATGTTTCCTCTCTCTGAAATCAATTAATAAAACAATGTGAGTGGGTGGGGGCAAAGCTTTCATCTTTTTTAAAAATATATTTTTTTTATTGATTTCAGAAAAGAAAGGAGAAGGAGAGATAGGAACATCAATGATGAGAGAGAAGCATTGATCGACTGCCTCCTACTGGGGATGGAGCCTGCAACCCAGGCATGAGCCCTGACTGAGAATTGAACCAGGGACCCTTCAGTCCTCAGGCTGACGCTCTATCCACTGAACCAAACCGGCAAGGGCCAAAGCTTTTCTCTTAATGAGAAATAGAAGATATTTTCTTTAAGGAAATACTATTACTTAATAGTGTGCTTGGAATTAGAAAATCACAAAAATCCACAGAGCCTTCTTTGAATCTATCTTGCTTCTTTAAAACAAAACCCTTACACCTACAAAATGTCCGTGGGACAAACACAATCTGCTAAATGCATGTAAGCCACAAGGAGAAGATGAAGGTAAACCAATAAGACAGAGACCTCAGTCTGGCCTATGTGAGTCCTACTGAACTGATGTCTTAGAATGACCATATGCCACATGGCTTCTATGAAACCAGTATAAAAGAAAGCACATGGTATGGATCTTTTACAGTGTCATTAAAAGTCTTCAAACTCAGAATCTACATGTCAGACCCAAGATACTATCTTAAATATTTGTCCCTAAAGGATTGCCAGATTTTATACTCAGTTCAAAAAAAATTAGCCGGGCTGGCATCGCTCCGTGGTTGAGCATTGACCTATGAACCAGGAGGTCACAGGCACATGCCGGGGGTTGCAGGCTTGATCCCAGTGCAGGGCATGCAGGAGGCAATCAATCAGTGTTTCTCTCTCATCATTGATGTTTCTATCTCTTTCTCCCTCTCCCTTCCTCTCTGAAATCAATAAAAATATATATTTTTTTTAAAATTAAAAGCTCTTAATTTGGGGGGAGGGAGGCTTAGAGTCAATGATATCAATAGTGTTTTTCATTTGCTTCTGGCAGGTGGCTAGCCGGGAACTGAACATCCCTGTCTCCTATATCCACCTGTCGGAAACAAGCACAGTCACCGTGCCCAATGCCTCCATCACAGCAGCGTCCATGGGGACAGACATCAACGGGAGAGCGGTGCAGGTGACTTTTCTTTCATTTCTCAGTCACCTAATGACAGTGCTGGAAATAACCTTGCCCCATCCCCTTTTATGGGAACTGAAGTTGAAGCTTAGAAAGGTCAAGCAGCTGGTTTTAGGAGCTCCGCTAAGAGGTAGTGAGACTTCGAGTGGTTGAAGCTTCCTCTGTGGGCCTCTTCTTCCCTCCCCTTGAGGGAAATCTACCTATAATTTTTCTAATCAACCTAAGATCATTAAAAACTCATCGATCACTTTTATTTGCATAAACCATCTCATTCAATAGTTAAAATGTTCAGTCCAAAATTCCAAAATGTGCTTCAAATTGCAGTGTCTCTACTACTTAACAGCTTGGGCCTACAGGGAGAAAAGGGGTGGGGCTGGCTTCTCTGATGTCCCTCCCTGCACCCCAGCACCCCATAAGCTTCCTAGCCTACATTTCAGACCCTTGTAAAGTCCAAGAAAGAGAGGGCACAGAGGATAGAGGCAGAACACTCTAGGCTGGCCTTGGTGTGGCCTGGCCTTGTTATACCTGACTCCTTCCCTTGTGGACGCCATTGGGAGCTCCTTAGAGAGTCCCTTCTGCAGCGATAACAAGGTCAGTGCTTCATCTATGGTTTTAGCCACTTGTGACCTGCTCCAGCCCCACCCTAAGCCCCAGGCCTCCTCCAGCCTTTTTCTGCTGAGGCACCTTATGCCTTGTAGGAAGCCCTTACAGATGGGGTTCTTTTAAAAAGTGGCGATTAGAGGGTGCCAAGAGTCAGGAGGAGGAGCAAATGGGGAGTTATTGCTTCATGGTTATAGAGTTTCTGTTTGGAGTGATGAAAAAATATTGGAAATAATAGTGATAGTTGCATGCACCAAAAAAAAAAAAAATACATCTATACTAATAAAAGGGTACTATGCTAATTAGACCGAACATCTTCCAGATGACCCTCCAGATGTCCTTCCAAACAAAGCCATGGTGGTGGGGCCAAGGCAGAGGTGGTTAGGGGCGATCAGGCAGGCCAGGGAGAGTAGTAGGGGGACAGGCCAGTAGGCAGGTGAGTGGTTAGGAGCCAGTGGTCTCAGATTGCAAGAGGGATGTCCGACTGCTGGTTAAGGCCCGATCCTGCCCACAGGGATCAGGCCTAAACCAGCAGTCAGACATCCCCCAAGGGATCCTGGCTTCCTGGCTTGGCAGGCAGGGCTGAGGGACCCCTCCCCATGTGTGAATTTTATGCACTGGGCCTCTGTATAAGAATAACATAATAACATTGTCCATGGGCAAAGTTCAGCTGACAACAGAAACCTTCTTCTAGGACTATGTAAATATTGCCAGACACATTTGAGACAAAATAAAGTTCTTTATCTGAAGTCTAAAAATATAGGAAGTCTAGAAGGGAGCCTTTCCACACACTGGCTTCTATTGTCTAGTTTGGGCAGAGCAGTGTCCAGCAAATGCGGAGAGCGCTCCTTAGAAGGACAGGAGTGCAACTTGTCACCTGGTCACCCTTCAGGTCGCCTGCAGCTCTTCAATGGGCTCCTTGGTGGGTTGATTACCAAGAGTTTTGGAGGCTCACTAAGGCTTCTCGAGGCTCTAGGTCAGTGATGGTGAACCTTTTGAGCTCGGCGTGTCAGCATTTTGAAAAACCCTAACTTAACTCTGGTGCCATGTCACATATAGAAATTTTTTTATATTTGCAACCATAGTAAAACAAAGACTTATATTTTTGATATTTATTTTATATATTTAAATGCCATTTAACAAAGAAAAATCAACCAAAAAAATGAGTTCACGTGTCACCTCTGACACGCGTGTCATAGGTTCGCCATCACTGAATTATACCCTAGTGGTCTACTCTATAGAAATAAGGGGTAAGTTTATAGTGATGAATGTCTACACTAAAAAAGAAATATCCCTGCCAGAACCGGTTTGGCTCAGTGGATAGAGCGTCGGCCTGCGGACTGAAGGGTCCCAGGTTCAATTCCGGTCAAGGGCATGTACCTGGGTTGCGGGCACATCCCCAGT